GCAGGAGATCCACAACATCCTCCACCTCTGCTGGTCCTCACCACTCCAGCACAGCCCTACTGACATCATCCTTTCTGCTCTTCCCTTACATCAGTGCTCGCTGCTATTTTTAGTGTGATATACACCAAAAAGCATAACATAAGAGATCCTCTTGCTAAATTTAGCTGGAAAATTATAGGCTGTTTTACTGTTTTTTTGCACAGTCTTCATTTGCCTCAATAGATTTGCGTGCAGCTCCTGGAACCCCGAAAAGCCAGAGAAGTGAGGTGGTACCTGCAGCGCCAAGAGCAGCACTCTGAGAAAAATGGGACTGTTTTATCTCAACAAGGGCTGGAGGCAAAGTCTTGGGGTCCACTTATAGGAGGGAAATCATTTTATTTAAAAAAAAAAAAGTAAGGATTTACAATCAAGGAGATATGAAAAATATAAATGTATGGATTATCTTTCTTCGCATTTAGTGTTTTATTGCAGCAGCCCACGTTTGTCTCCAGGAGTATTATCCATGATGCAGCACACTAATGCACTACCTTGCTCTGAACAGGAGAAAGCACTTTGGATGTAGTCCAGGTTTAACCCTGTCTTAGGGCTTGCTTTTACTTTTAAACAAAATACCAGCAAATGAAAGTAAAGCACCATCCTGGCTCTTCCTTGGAGCGTGGCCAGTCCTGCACGTGAGGAGCAGCTTTGAGACAGAGGGTGATGCTCATTCCCACTTGGTTCATGACTCCTCTGCCTCTCTTTACCCTTCCAGTCCCCACAACCCACCTCTGTTCTCCATCTTTGAGTGAAATCCCCCCAGACACACGTCACCTAAAGGTGCTCTGCAAGGAGCTGCTCCTGGTCAAAGGGACTGTTCAACATCTGACATCAGGCTGATCCCTGAAAAGACCCCTGCCATCCAGGCAGAATTGCAGATTCTGGCTGTTTGGAGGTTTTAAAAATTAAAACATTCCCCCAAACAGCTGTATTTCTTATGCAAATCCCCCACCAAATGGTACCTTGTGAGTATCAGAGAAATTGTTTGTCCTCTGCTAAAAAATGATCACCTAGAAACCCATTAATTTGGGGGGGTGGGAAGGTTTTAAGAGGACAAAGCAGGCTTCAAACCACATTTCTCCCATGCCCTGTGAACTGTTGTGCTATTGTGATTTTACAGTGCTATTCCTCTGCTTCTGCTGGGTTTTTCTCTTTAATGTAATGTGGATAACCCAGAACAAAAACTGACACTTAATTCTGAGTAAACAGTGGCAGCGACTGAATAGAAACTTGATGTCAAATATACAACCACCCTGGGAAAGTCAAAATCCATTGCTTTCTCCTCTCTTCCAGTTGTGTCCTCCATGAGTGTATTATCCATAAAATTAGTGATTTAAAAAGGCATGGAAACATTACTTTTCATATTCATAGCGTCACTTTAAAAAAAATGGTTAAAAATCGATTTGCTGGCCTCTTGGGGAAATGCTGTAATGTTTTTGGCTGTCTTCTACTTTCTGCTGCCAGCTAAAAGTACCATCTGGCTTGTTTAGGGCCCTTTTCCATATCAGGTGCTTCCAAAATTCTCCCCAACCAGAGGATTGTTTCGTTGGGTTGCTCTGCCTGCTGAGGCATGTGTCCTGGGCTGGGAATCCTACTGCTTCTGTTCCCTGCCATCTTGCTGACAGTGGTGTGTGTATGTTTGGGCACGGATCTTGCTGCCTCTCTCCCGAGGACATTTGCATCATTGTCAGCTGCACATATTAAATTGATATGCAGGGCTCAGAAACACGTATCCCATCTTTTGTCCCTTTGTTTGTGCAATTGTTGTGGTTTTAATTCTTCTTTGACACCTGGAATATCACAAAGCTGCTGATAATTTGTTGGCTACTAAGGGAAATGACATTGATAGGAGGATAATGTGTGTCAGACTTATATCTCGATAATTGCGGACACACCCCGAGCCCTCGCGGCTCAGGGAATGAATATCCTAAATCCATCATTAATTTGGAGAGTGGCATGTGGCAGTTGGCTGTGGTGTCATCCTCTCGCTGCAAGAGTCACTGGCGAGGGGTTTGGAGGCAGTTTGGGTGTTTCCTGCACGGCTGCGTCGATGCGCGTCTCCTACGCGCCGCTCTCCGTGCGTCCTCGCTGCCATTTCATGGCATTTCCGTGACACAATGGGGTGGATTTTCCCACTCCTCACGGGAGGAAGGCAGCTCCCCACGGGCCTCTTCTCCTGCCCAGGAGGACCAACCCAAGCAGAGAACTGATGCTCTGCTCGCGGCACCAGTTGACGCTGACGCCTCCTCCTCGGGTGACCCTTCGCTTTTCAGATTTACTTGGAAATAGAAACACACCCCTGAAGGGTTCATGAGCAAATTTGAAGCCCTCTAGTTGCAAAGTCCAGGCTTGATGTGATTGTGTGGGAGAGCAGGAAGGGTGTTTTGGAGCAGCTACTGCCGTGAGCCGTCTTGTCCTATTTCAGAAATGATCTGTGCCATACGCTGCTGACTTTTCCTGTCCATCCATTAAAAAGTGAATTATGAAGAGTGCTGAGACAAACAGATAGGAGTTTAACCTTGTTAGTAAATATCAGGTAGCTGATATATACTGCTAGAATGTTACATCACAGCCTCGCTCTTCAATATAAGTTTATAAAATTATCTTGTTACTATATAAACTGCCTTGGCTGGGTACATTCTTCCAGAGGGTTATTGTTTGCTGGATGTTGGCACAGTAGCATGACTCCGAAGAGTCAGTTCACGACGTGGTGAATTTTAAAGACTTGGGAGATGGCCATATCTATTTTTCAGCAAAGGAATGAAAGCTTTTTTCCTTTTTTTTTTTTTTTTTTCCCTCCTCTAAGGTATTAAAAGTTTCAAAACATGTGCTGAAATGAAAAGGAAATAATAACTAAGACCTGGATGGGAAGTAGTGCCTCGGAGTACTGATTTTGTTTATTTGCTTGTTTCCCCCAAAATCTTAATATTTCAAGTTCAAGTTAATATTTTAAATCAAATAAACCTGTTCTGTGAACTAGTAAGGTACTTGAACTATTATCACACATTATTCATTTATTTCTGTGTGAGTGCAATAAAAATTTTACAAGCTGTAATCTTGTTCTTTTAATAGAGAGAAAACTATGCAGAATATGTTGCTTAGAGTATTAGATAAGCTGCAGTATGTTAATCAAATATTTTTGTGATATGAGGGCAGTTGAGAAAACAGTACAATTTTTGCTAATGGCACTGGTAAGTAAACGGATCTATCATTACATTGTCATGAAAAGTGACATTGAGCAGAAACACCCTGCCAATCCCTAGAAGATAAGTATTTAATGTAATTAGACAGACACTGTCTCCTTTGTTGAACGTAGCATTAATCACCCAGAGAAGTCCAACTTTATATGAAATGGCTTTTTCTGATATGTCTTTGTATTAGAAAGCTTCTCACACGGTTTTACCACGGTGATATGTTTGAAGAAATGACTGCAGCAGCTACACGGGTTTCCTCATGGCACATTTCTTGCTGTTCTGTGTTCCATAATATTTAATTCTTTTTTATTTAGCAGTGTTGCATTACAGAGCTGTGACTTGTTCCTAAGTCTAGAAAGCTACGTGCAATTGGAGCTGAACCTCTTTGAACCAGTGTAATGCATTCAAGTTGTAGAATATAAAAGCAACACAAATAGCTTCCATTATGTTCTTCAGTCCTTCCTCTGTGGTGTTAGCACAGGTTCATTGTTATGGCATAAGCAAAATATTTCTTGCCTCAAATGCTCATCCATAATATCACACACAAAAAAAACCAAAAACCAACCAAAAAAAAACCAAAAAACCCCCAACAAACAAACAAAAAAAGAACTTCTTTTTATGAAAATCTCATTGTTAAATGGATGAAAAATGTTGCCCCCTTCCAGAATTCATTGGCACTACATTTTTTTTCCCTCTTTTTTTTTTTTTTTTTTTTTTTCCCCCTCTCCTCTGTTGCTTGTAATTTGTACTGTGAAACGCTGTCTGGTTATGAGCTGGTATCAATTTGAGTCAGTGCACAGCTGTGTCTTCCCACCTTCTCAGTGGTGCCGAGGGCTTTGAAGGGAAAGAAAAGGGTTTAGTCAGAGATGACAGCCAACTTCACCGGGTAACAGGTGGAGGTCAAGTTGGTTTATTTGTTGGGCTGAACAGAGTGCAGAGATGAAAAATCTTTGCCATAATAAGGTTTAGGAAGAAAATGCTGACTAGTCTAAGCTTTGATTCCAGCTGACAGATCCTTTTCTAGTGTTCATTACTTGATTTCACAGTTCAGGCAATTTTAAGAGGCTTAAAATTATGTTTCTGCTCTCCTCTATAAAACTTTCCGATCACTTTCTAATTTTTGCTTTAAGTAAAGTTATAGGGACTGCCTGATATATCACTCCTGCCTGTAGACTCTTACAAAGTCAATATGCCATCAAAAATGTAAGGATAAGCTTTTTTTTAAAAAAAAAAAAAACCTGCTTTCACTGATTCTTTTAATAAATGAAGTAAAAAATTCATGTATAGGCACCGAATCGATTAGAAAATTAAAATTAAAAACTTTCTAAAAAAAACCCCTTGAACAGTGGATAGTAAACTAAGGAGGATGCTCAAGAAGCCAGTGTTCCTTGTCTGGGCATTTGGGATTTCTGTGCCAGTGAAGCCCAGAGTGCTGGGCTCCAGTCCCTGTGCTCCGTGCTGACAGGGAGCCACAGCCAGGCCCTGAGAATCAGAGCAGAACACGCTGGCTTTGTGTGCCTGGGGCTGGGGTGACCACACAAAGGGATTTCACTGGGCTGAGCCTGCAGCCTTTGGGTCTCTCCGAGCTCTCCCTCCCCTGTGCCAGCTCCTGGGAGGGACACGGAGCCGTCCCTCCTCTCCCACCCTTTTTCTTCCACCACCACCACCTGCTTCCTACCTGCTGGAGTGGGCAGAACAGGATTATCTTTAGCCATTTGCTAAAATCTTCCCCCTCAGACTTTCTATTACTTCTGCATTCATTCTTTGCAGGAAGAGGAAACTCACTGGTCAAACCCTTGGACACCAGAATAGTTGCATGCAGTTTCCCAGGGAGCCAGATAGCTCTAAAGCTTCCCAGTGAGTGACAGTTTCTCTCTTCTATTCTTCTGAAACATGTGTTTTACACATATACTGAAAAATGTTAATATCAATTTACAGCCAGATCCTTGCTTTTTTTTTTTTTTTGCTTTTTTTTTTTAAAGGTTTAAAAAAAATCAAATCTCCCAAAGTATTTACACTTAGAGCACCTCAGCACACATGTCACTTTTTTTACGTAGGAAAAAGTGTTGGATGCTCTTATACACATAGCATCATTGGGCTTTTGAAAGCTGTTAGCTCATTCTGAGTTAGTGGCAAGAACGCTGGACTTGCCAGCACCAAACTGTGAAACCTTTTCTGTGTGACTGGTAGAAATCTCATGGGGGTAGAAATCCAAAAAAAAAAAAAAAAAAAAAAAAGGGGGGGGGGGGGAGGGGCGGGGGATGTAAATCTGTGTATTTGGATTCGAGCAGCTTCAATAGCATGATATCAACTTTGTCCTAGAAGTCCTTGAATCACAAATCATTTGGGAGAGTGTTCTGGAGAATTACCACTGTATGCTTTCCCTGGTTTTTTACTCTTTTCTAGGCGTCCATTAGTTCCCACTGTCAGGGAGAGGATTCTGGACTAGGTGGATCCCTGTAATCTGATTTGGCATGGCTATTTTTCTGTGTTCCTAAGCTCATGAGATCAAGTTATGTAGGATTATTTCATAATGCCAGAGCAGCAGTTTCTGAGGTTGGACAAAGCTGTCTAGCAAAAGTGTCTGATAAAAGAAAAATCCTGTCCCATACTGTAGCTTTCTTGGTCCAGTGAAGCAGCATCCTCACGCACACAAATCTTGTAAAGTTGCTTCTGATAGCTCCCTGTGTCCCTTGGTTTTTGTAAGCTAAAGTGCCATTTTCCTTTTTACAGCTTAATTGAACCTAAATGCGCCCATTTTCTGCAATGTGGTATTTTGGTAATTTCGCTATTTGCTCGTAAGTTTTCCCTTAAGCAAACTGAAAGCTTCCCCTTTATCACTTCACTGGGCCAAGATTTCACACAGTATCCTGCTTGCTACAAAATATGATAGTGTTCTCTCTCACCTTGTTTCTTTTTTCTTCTTTTACTTTCTTTTATAAAATCAGGATATCTAAGAAACCCCGAACACCGCGGAGCACTTCATGGTGGGTGTGCTTATTCAAACAATGCCAATGCTCTCGTTCTCGGTGCACAGAGTTGTTGTGTTGGGTTTTGGGGGGGATGTCCCAGGTGTCCCCTCTGGTGTGGATTCTCCGGTGTCTAGTAAGGACAGAGCTCGTGCCAAGCCCTTTTGCCGGAGTGCCAGCGCTGGAGGGGGCACTCCCATGTCACCTCTGCCTTTGCCGTGCCTGTTTTCTTGGAACCTGCAGGGGGATTTTTCCCTGGGAGCCCTCTGCCTCTCTGCCAGGGGTGTTTTCACCAGGGGGCTTGGGCAGCTCCCAGGAGCAGACCTGCAGGCAGCAGGGCCATCCAGGCTCCTCTGGAAACGATGCCGTGCTCTGCCTTCCCTCCGGGAATCCGGGAGCCACCGGGATGCAGAGGAGGGAGGCTGATCTCACCTGTCTGGTGTCACCTGTGGGGAAGTGCTTTCAGTCTCTCTGCCTGGGAGCTGCTGGTGGCAGGTCCCCAGGGCCATTCCAGTGATCATGGACCTTCCCAGGGAGGAGCACAGCAGCTACAAACTATTTCTGGTGTTTTGGAGGGTTCAATCCCGTGACTGTCAAATTGTCAGAGGGTGAAAACACCAGGAACCACTGGATACCAAAACAGTTCCATGAGTCCACTCTCGACCTGCCAAATTATAAATCCCTTGGTGCAATGCACACAAATTCAGTTTGCAACTCTTTCTTCCTTTGGAATAACCTATAAACTCTTCACCTCAAATTGTGCAGAAATCAGGTGGCTTTCCAGTCCGTGGTAAATCACCTGGGCTATTTTCAATCCTGACCACAGCTCTTTTATTAATTAAAACACATGCTCAATGGCACTGCACACCGATTAAATCTTCAAAACCAATATTAGCACCAAACTTAGTCTTGTCATCATGAAAGTCATTTGAAAGCATTACCATGCAGTAACTGAGGTCACAAGTCCAGAAAATCTGCATTTTTACCCATCTCCATCTCATGCCTGGGGCATTTAGCAGCCATCATTGTTATGTATAGCCTGGGTAGCCAATGATGGTTTGATGACATGCAGATAATGAGCAAATGATTTTTAAGGAAAATAAATAAATAAATGAAACCCCAAAAATTTTACTCCATCCTCTTCAGTTACTAAGATTCCCTTTAGTATCACTCGCAATTTAGGATCCATATGCATCTTCAGGAAGATATAGTTGAAACATAAATCTATTCTGGGTCTTTTACTTGCAAAAATATCATACCTCAGCTATAATCATATGCAAAGACTTTTTAGAGGGCTTTGTAAATGCCATCCAAATTTATGATGGCATTTTTTGCCTTGCAGCTATAGATGTTCCATCCCCAAAGCACCCACATAAAGGTATATTCTCCTATGGATGGCTGCAGTTTGTCCCTGCTGCTATATCTAATCTGCCAAGTGTGCTGAAAAACTCTCAAGTAGCATTTGAAATGAAACAAATGCAGTCATGAATTTTAGACAAGATGTCTAAAGACGTCATTAGAAATTTATTTTTTTTAATTCTCCTTGCAATATATATTTATACAATGGAAAATTATGCCGAAGCTGACATTAACTCAAAGGCAGAATTGAACTGTTATCCTGCTGTTTATTGCTCTTCTCATTAAAGTTTTTAAAGACATAACTCATGAAATTATGTTTTGAAGAAATTGGTTAGATGTTGAGTACTAGTTTATTAGTTATTGAAAGAACTGCTTGGGTGGCAGAGCAGGAACGAAGCCGAACTTAAGCGACCTAAAACAATGCAGATGATGCTGTAAACACAGATACAAACAGACAAGGTAATACACTCTATGAGAACGTTGTACCAAACAATTTAGGCAGACTTTCATGGGGTAGGATTTAAAAATAATTGTGAATATTGAAGTGCTCGGCTTTAAAATTCTGTAGGCAAGGTTGTCCATCACTATAAACTGATATTTCTCCTTCGTAAATGGATCTGTGCTCATTTGTAAAGGAGAAATTTCAACCTTCTTTTTCCCTAAGTGACATCAGAATTTTGATTCTACCTTGAATTATCATTTTTGGCTAAAAATTGCTGAGGAGTCCAAAAGCATTTAAAACCTAAAGCCATTGAATCCATTTAATGCGCCTTTGGCACCTCTCTCTCTCTCTCAGTCCTTTTTGAACATTCTGGTCCTCATTTTAATCAATCTCTTTTTATTAAGTTCTTTGGCTCATTTACTTGTACGTGCATTTGCTTTATTTTATTTGGAACATTTCTTTTGTAGTGTCTTGAAAAAGAGTTGTGACATTTCTTTTGGATGGCTTCTTAAGTATCTGGCAGTCACCTATGATACGATGTTGATGGGTACGGATAGATTAGCTCTGTTTTCCTGATGATCTGTCAGATGTCGAGTTCTGAGGAAACTGGATGTGTGTGTTGGTGATGCATATGCAGCAGTTTGATAAGTGGATAGAGGGGGAGCTTTCATTTTTCTTCTGCAAAAATCACTGTTTATTAAGCTGGATTTAGCCTTGTGGGGAGCGAGGTGCTCCGCTGGCAGGTAGTTAATCAGTGATCATGGTAACTCCGGCTGCAACCAGGGGAGCCAGTACCCATTCAGAACGTAGAAACTAAAGAGCACTTCATTAGGATGACTGAATTTCCATCTGTGTTGTATTTTGTGTACACTGGAGCAATTAATACAGTAAACTGATGGATGGCAGTCAGTGGGATCGTATCTCGGCTGATGACAAAGTTTGCTCAGCACTAAATAGAACAGACTTACTGTGACTGGCAGGAGGGGAGCCGTCAACGTTTCTTGAAACTAAGAATTCCCCAGGAATTAAAAGAAAAAAAATAGAGCAGCTGATCAGCCTTTCTGTTGACACTGATTTCAGTGGAATTGCTGGATTAATTCACACAGAAGGATGAAAATTCCTTGAAAAATGCTTCCCATATATCAGTTTTTTTCCTTCAACAGCCGACTTGTTTTTCTGCATCATCTGTTTGTTCTGCATGTTGTCGAGTTCATGGTCCACCTGGTAAAACCTGAGCTTCCATGATTCCTTCTCCTAGTGTGCCTTGGGAAGGAGGACCCAGACCATGTTTCACTCATAGCTTTTGTTATGAAATCTCCATCAAGAATCTAGTGCCAGAGAGCTGCTGGGAATATTGGGGTGATTATCCAAAGGTCCTTGGAGATGAATATGAGCTGGTCTACAAACGTAGCTAACAAGAGATGGAGTTGTTGTGTGAGACGTGTGCAGGTAGAATAACGTCAGCAATTAATCAAGTGAAACTGGATGGATTTTCAGGTGTAGATTTGGAGAGAAGGGGGATTGTTCTCCTCTTGCTGTGACTCCGCTCACTCCATCGGAGTTAATCCCGATTTTTTTAGTAAGGCGTGTGGCAGGTCCACGGAAAAGGCGTTCACAGATACTTGTTTGTCCTGGGGAGGATTTGTGCATTCAATTCTCACGCATCATTTTCTGGTCCATTTAAATATATATCAGCCTCATACATGAACATTTGAAGACCTTTAGCTGTACTCAAGGAAGACTCTCATGTGGTGCGTTTCTAATACTGGCAAACATAAGGAGGTAGAGGAATTAAACCCACCACAGTGCTCCAGTGCCCCTTAGAAGATGAGGAACATGAAGTTTTCCTGTGCACTCATTAAACTTGGGCTGGAGGTTTGCGAAGTGCAGAGTTTTGGAAAGTCTTTCTGCGGGACTTCAACATCCAATGGCTCCAGTAACCAGAGTCTCCCAAGGACAAGGATCCCATTTGCGCTTGCATTATGCATTTGAGCAGAAGGGTGTGATGCATGATGTGGAATGAACAAAATAATAACTCGTGTGTTTAGGGAAATGCCAAATTAATGAAAATTCAGAAAGCTCTAATGTTGAAAAAAGCGCACAAATTCCTTGATAGAAATATAATGCTGCTAACAGTTTCAAGATTATTGTTGTCTGAATTTTCTGCTTATTGTGTACTGCAATTAAAATTCTTCTCGACTGAAAAACCGATGTCAAATTAATATTTCCTTTTGGAAAAAAATACGAAAGTACACATCTTGTTCCATTTAGCACCATCATGGTCTTTGATCAGGTTCCCTCAGTCCAGTGAATAAAACAGATTTATGTTAATGGGAGCAGGCTCAGACCATATATGTTTGGCATACATATAGAATCATGTGAACACAAGTACAGTAAGTTAAAGTAGCACACCCACTCAGGCTTCCATCTGCGTTTTATGCCACAAATCCCTTTATTTTCTTCTTTTATTTAGCAATTAACTTCTCCATTTATTCTGTAGTTAAAAGCTGCCGTAAGATGAAAATAGACAAAGTCTGATTTTCTTCTCTCTCGCTCTAAATAACATTGAGAGGAGACTCAGACCTGGATTCTGAAAGCTGTGCCTCCTAAAAGCGCCAGGTGTGACTGTGACTTGGACAAGAGTCCTGTCCACAGAATAGTGAGGAACACTTTTAACCCCCACCTGGGTTACCCAGCCGTTGTGTTCTGGCTGTTCTTGTTTATTCCTTGCTCAGAGCAGATGGATGGAGAGAGGCAGGGAACGGGGAGGATCCTTGGCTCTGTTCCCTATCCACCGGCCAGCGCAGCTGAGACGGGCTGGGGGAGATTGTAATTTGTTGCTGCCCTGCACCAGAGAGCAGAGAGAGGAGAGCAGGGACTCAGAGGTGTCCTCAGAGCTGGCGCTGCCCCTTCCTCAGGGTCCTGTGAAGTGCTGAAGTCTGGTGTTCAGTGCAGTGGTCCCCAGTAATCGCTGGCTCCCGGGAGCAATGCCGAGGAAAGCTGTGCAAGGCAGCCCCATCCTCCCGGGATGCATCCCCAGCTCTGCCCCAGCTACCTTCAGCCTTAACTTTTTAATTTCCTGCATCCCTGAGCAGCACAGGAGGGGCCCTGCGGACAGGGGGCCGCTAAATGTGTTAAAACTCATTAGGTTTGGAGCAGAAGACCCTTAAAACTAGCCAAGAGTCTCAAACGTGGGTGCCAGAAATTAAACACCTAATTCAATGTTGAGCCACCTACCTTCAGTTCCTTCCTCATAGTTAATATACACTGTGCCACCTCATAGGTGGCCCGATTTTCATAGGCACCAGGCAGCTACAACTAACTCAAGTGTTGAGACTGCTCACCTAAGTGAGACTTGTAGAACTCAAAAGTTTTTTCTGGGTGATTAAACAAGAGTCCCCTCGCTCTCAGCTCCCGAAAGGAGCTTCGATAGAATGACCAGCATTGTAACATATGGCTTAGCAAGGGGAGGAAAAAAAAAGAAGAAAATGAGTATTAGAAATGGATGGACTAAAGAATACGCAGGATATATCAGGCACATTAACCAAACATATGGTGCTAAATGAGATATTTTTTTTTAAATTGCAAAAAAATTGACATTCCTGGCAGTCTCAAGGATAATGTGACATGGCTGTGATAAATTTAGAAGAATGGGACATATTTTGGCTTGTTCTTGGAAACCTTTTTCTTGCATGCCGACTGTATTTCTTCTTTTATTAACCCATTCAAAGAATGTTTGAATTTTGCTGCTAGAGCACCATGCTAGCGCAACATAAAATGTGAATGATGCTAATTGCTTTGCACTGCCTAACTTTCTGTCATCCCCTCCCCTCTTAAAGGACAAAACATGCTTTGGAAATGAGCTGGCAAGCTCATCTTCTTCTTTCTCCTGGTCAATATTAAGTGATGTAATTAAGCTCCTGTTTGCATATTCTTCTGAACTAGGAAGCAGCCATTTTTTTCTTGAGATCTGATGGATGTGATCACTCAAAATAAAATGTGTCATTACAAACCCCAAACAAAACAAAAACATGGTATAGTTGGACTGTTCCAAACCAATACATTTCAAAATACCCTGGGAAAAAAAATAAATAAATGAACCAAACTTGTGATAATAATGGCAATCAGAATGATAACAAACAAATAGAGCAAAAGTAGCAACCAGTTATCAGCGCTTCAGTTTGTTTTTCTACTCAATTTCCCTGCATAGGGTTACATTAAAATCTCTATTTTCACATGAAAGCCTCTGCCTCAACCTTAGAAAACCCATCCCCATATGAACATGACACTGCTCAGCATTGCCACACTCAAGGTCATTCATCAGCTTCTTTGTAGCTCCTCAAGTTCCAGTGTTTGGACACAATCACACGAACTCGCTGCAGCTTTTAACCATTCTCCACTCCCTCTGCCCCTTCTCCCTGCTGTGGTTTAGAGATGAGTCCTGCAGGGTTGTTTTTTTTTAAACACTGGGGTAAAAGAATAGCTGTTTCATTTTTTCAGAAGCTGTATTATCTTTGCCCTGAAGAGGGTTTTTAGCCAGGGAAAGCAGGGAGCTCCTGAGCCTGCTGAGCCACAGAGTTGAGATGTCATTCCTCCCCTGACCTCTGTCACCTGCCCAGGGCTCAGGTAACTCATGTCCCACCTGGGTCTCTGCTCATGGGCATCAGCCCTGCTCTTGGAGCAACTCCCACCCTGGAAAATTTTAGTGAACCTCCCATGTGCATAAAAGTCTCTTGGAGTGTCCATAATATTTTGTACTTAGCGCTGGCGTTGACACTCCTTTGGTGTTTCCATCCCCAGTTCTTCCATCACAGGGAAATCTGGGTCAGCAGCACCATTAATTCCTTTGAGTGTCCTTGCCCTGAATATGGACATGCCATGACGAAGTTACATCCCACTGGAGCAGAAATTCAGCAGGCTGCACTGGAATATTTCATTGAAACACCTCAGTTCAATCTCCTTTGCTCTCTACCCCTGAAACTGAACTCAATCTTTGCTTTTGTTCCTACTCCAAAGTCCCTAAGACCACATAAAAAACTTTTTTTAAATGAAAAAAATACACCCCCAACCCATTATTTTTCTTGCACCACAGTCAGTTCTAAGCTTTGATTTTTCAAATGTTAAGTCTGTAACCTTTCCTAAAAGGCACCATAACAGCAAACCCTGTAGCAAACAAGTTTTGAGGCAGAAAGCTGCAAGTACAACACTGGAACTCAAACCATTCCCTCACTTTGTTTAACTTACAGAAATATAAACTCCAAAGCCTCACTGAAACCATTAATGCCCAGCAGTGCAGAGTATAAAGTACAAGAAGGCTCCTGCATATTGCAATCAACATCCCAGGGACTATAAAACTAGTCTTATTAAATATAAAGTTAATAATATAGCCCAGAGATAATCTTGTCCAGGCCTCTCTCTTTACTTTTTTAACAATTAAATACTATAAAAAACAGAGTTGCAAATAAAATTAAATTACTTTGCTGGTGGAAGTTCAACTTGCACATTAAGTGATATTTTGCTTTTCCACCTGAAATGTCCACCTTTGTTTTGCTGTATCCCTATGGATATGCAAAATGCCTGATGGGCTGTATATACTAGAAATTTGAGTTGTCAGGATACATCCTGATAATCAGAATACCCAGATGCATCTAGAACTGCAAAAATATAGGCTAGTGCAGACAAACATGCATACTTTTCATTTATATACTGTAAAATTATTCCATCCAAGCATCTACCATGCACAGAAAAGGCTTGGGTTTTAAAAGCCCATTGCAATGTATTCATTCCATTAATTGTTTTGATACCACAGCTATGTTGTGGCATGAACAGGAGTTATTCTCACCCTGTATACCAAACCACTCAGATGAGTACCACACCATTTGTGCCTGTCCATGGCAGAGGTTTCACCCAGTGACAACTTAACTCTGATTTTCATTGGGAGCCTTTGATGCAGTTCAAGGGCATTACAAAAACTACAAAATAATTCCAGTGTGGCTTCTAATATCAAGACATAAATACCGTTCACCCTTAAAAAAAAAAAAATTGAAAGAGAACCACATAAATGTATAACTTTCAAATGCCTTTGAAGTCAAGAGAGTGAGGGGAGGAAGAGTTTGAACTCAGAGAACTCCATTCTCTGGTTGTGCCTTGAGTCGTGCGGCACATTTAAAAGATCCATTTGCAATAATCTACTAAACCAAGGAGTGAAAGACAGAACTCATAAAAAACCTGTAAAAATCCAAATGCTCCAGCTATTATAGATTTCTAAAAATAAAGCAGAGTAGGTTTCAGTAGCAATAATAAGCTACATCTTGTCTGTATTTCAGCTTTATAAGAAAAATATGGCTGCCTTTTAGTACTCATGGCTCAGAGCAAACCATGGCTGCTTCTGCCTTGACAAAAACAAACCCCACAAATAAAAGTGAGCTTTCAGCTTGCTGTTGTGTCGCGTTTCATTTGTCCTTTAAGTGTGTCTAGCTGCTTCTGCACCCCCTTTCACAATGCATAGGCTGTCGTTCCATGACCTAGCATTATTAAATTGCACTTATCAATCATTCTTGCCAGGAATGCCATCGCCAACTACATTAAAGAAGTCAGAGAAGTCTGGTTTCAGCAGTCCCTCGCCTTCGCAGACCTCCTCCCTTGGAACGGCTTTCACACAGCACCATCGACCTGTCATTACAGGACCCAGAGGTGAGGCCTTTCCCGAGAGCCCCCAGGCCCTGGAGGGCAGCCACGGCTCCCGTGGCCGTGCCAGCTCCACGGAAAGCCATCGCCGCCTGTGACCGCCCAGCGAGGGGCTGTGCTCGCCACCTTGACGCCCACCAGGGTTTAGGTGTCCAGAGGCTGGTTCTGATAGGCTGGGCTGCTTTTGGGAAAGCTCCTGACCACCACCCGAGGTGGAAACGCTGGTTTCTGGGGCCTTGGGGTTTTGTTGGAAGAGGGTGGGGAAAGGGACAGGATGTGTTGCAGGGAGGTGTCTTCTGCTTGTGGCCATCCATCACGTTGACTCGGTCCAACTGCTCGAGACAGGGACCCATCCATCACTTCTGACCCACGCCTCTCTTCCAGCTCTGTGAACTTCCTTCTGCCAGTCATTTATTCTTGAGCTGCTGGTGTCAGTGTGCCTTGTTAGGGGACTCCTTTGAAGTTGGTTCCTGCAAGACTTTGGCTGGTTTCCTTCTCAGTACTCTTCTGACTGACTTTCCAAGTAAAAGAGATGTCCTCTGGGTCTCTGTGTGTTTATACATTTTTGTTAGAAAGATGCATTTGCATTTAGCCTAGAAAACTAAATGCAATACGGAGTTCAGGTTTGAAAAGGAGCTCACTTGGGCATAGAAGAGACACAAATGAATGAATCCTCTTACAAACCTCTTTGGAAGACATAAAAATAGGAATGAATGGTCGTGACACGTTTCTTTCTGCTATGAAATTTTGTCTCATTTAGAGAAGATTATTAAGGAATTGGTGGAATGGTGAAGCATAAAAATGCATATTAGCAATTCATCCTAGAAATTATTTGGAAATGTCTGTTTGGCATCAGCGTGGTTTTACTGAGGGCAGCATAAACCAGGAGGAGCCTCTTTGTCTGCACATCCAGGTGATGTGGTGAGAAATGGTGGAGTTGCACAAAGTTGAAGCAAGGTCAGACTTGCACTTCAGGAGGTTTTGTGCTTTGTTAAATCTGCTTATTGTAGTTTGATTTGTTGTGGTTAATCCATAAAAATTATTCATTACCCTTAGACATGCACCCAGATCCTCAGAAGAAATTTAGGCATCTAAGCTCTACAGAGATTTCCCTTGAAATTTGGATCCGAGCTGTCTGGCAAATATGTCCTCTTTTAAAAGCCTTGATAATTGGTGATACAAGTATGACTAATATGAAGCTTCCATTAACATTCTATTCAGTGCACATCAGCTGACTCCCAATTCCTGTCTTTTAGAAGTTCAGCCTTTTAGATTTCAGTTGTTGATTGATTAGTTAATAGACCTTTCTTTATTTAGCTGTGTTTTACCTCACACTAATTTTTTAAGATCATTGACTGCCTTTGTCTGCCCCTGTTTAGACCCTCTGTGCTTTGGATTCTTGTGTGGTTGAGAGAGGAAATGTCTCAGTGGTGAGGCCTTGTTTAAATCTCATCTACAGTCTGTTTTCACAAGACTTTTTCTGTGCACTGAGGGATTTCCATTGGCTACGTGAGAAGAACATTCAGTGGGAGCCAGAAAAGCAAATAGAATTATTACAGTCCCACATTTTGTTTGTTTGGAAGGAGATGTTCTTTACCAACTCCACAAAGAAGCGGAGCTTTTAAATCATCATGGTTCCTAAAAAGTTAACCAAAACTGTTCTTCTGCAACATCATTTAGAAGCATCTTCTATTTTATGCTGGTTCACAAACAAAGTCTCACTGACTTGCAGGAAAAAAAATCCCTCTGAATCCATCCATGGTTTCTTTAAGTGCCATCATCCTGAAAAAATCTTGTCCCAGACTTCATCCTTTGTTCTTTTGGGACATTCCTCCTCAGTATTCTTCTTTCACAGCACACTGGCTGTGTTTATTTCCCTGCTGCAACAATCATTCTGTGAGTAAAGGGTGATACACTGAGATGGATTATTTTCTGCAAATCCAGCTTTGTTCTTTATCCCATCGCCTCCGGCGTACTTTAGGGACAGTAAGCAGAAGAGAGAAGCTTTTCAGGTATCAGAAGTGGCAACATAAAGAGTATAATGCTGTGGTATAAGAGGATATAATTGAGAGATTCACTTCCACCAGTAGTGACTGGGAGTTGTGCCTCTGCAGAGATGATGGTACAGCACACAGAGGCTAAATTCCCTCTGGACACAGGTGCATTATGTAAATGGTTAGTGGCAGGTCAGTCTGAGGGGGTCTTTGGAAAACAAAGAGCAGGATTCAATCTTCATTCTGCAGAGAGATTTGGTGGAAGGGGAGTTGTGAGTAAGTAGGTCACCATCAGAGTAAGCTCCTCAGCCAACACGACGATCACAAGGAGGTTCCATCTCCTTCTCATGTTCGTATGTGCAAGTTTATCACTTGGATGTGTGTATGAGATGCATTTGTAAAGCATGATCAAAATAGACAGCAGAGAAGAAGCTGCAGACTATTCATGGCAGGTGTTGGCATTGACAACCAGTGATTTATAACTTCTCGGGAATATTCCCGAATCTTTCACAAGCTTCCAAGCATCCCTTGGAACACACTGCACAAATGATGCCGGGGTGTCCCAGGATACTGAATGCCCTTCCCTGTGGTCCCCACAATGAGTCATTCTGGAAACAAAACTTCCTTGGAGGAGGAGTAAGATCCTTGAGAGGATTTCCTCGCTCTAAGGTGCTCCACCCAACGAAGCGGCTGGAACACCTCTGGTCTCGTGGAATTGCCTGGATGTGCTGTGCTGTGGAAGGCTGTGCACTCGTTCCTGTCTGCACTGGTGCTGCTGCCAGTGCCCAGCCCAGCTGGGCAGTAGCCAGGAGAGAGGATCCGAGCTGGCTGACCAGCAGACCAGATGTGCAGCGAGTGCTGGCGCAGGGATGCCAATGCTTCAGTGGCTCCTCAGTACTTCCAACAGATGGTGGCAAGATCCAAGTTTCTTTGGTGATAAGCTAGCAAAGTGATTCATGGAGCCTCACTTGATGATGGCAGTTTTTTGGGCATGACTCTATGAATGCACCATATGTCTTCTCTGGACCAGCGTGGTTAGGATTCAGTGTCTGGCAGATGGTAAATTGATCACCTATAGGGTGGCTTTAGCATCACTATCAGTTTTAGAATTTATTTCAAAGCCTTGAAAATTTGAGCAGCCAGATCTCTCTCCTACTCAGGCACACTTTTTTGTTACCTGCAAATGAGATTATTTGGTGGTCAGCGTAGCTCACCACAGCACTCCAGCACTGCAAAGCCATTGTGGATTGCTGGCATCTCACAAAGCTTCCCAGACCACTTGAACACTTCACCAGGCAGTGAAGGATTTAAATACTATGGGTGACAGCAGTATTTACATAAATGGTTTCAGGCTTCCATGTATTGCTACTTACACTCTGGTGACTTTATAACTGGAGCTGGCTGAAACATTAAATTGACCAAGATCTTGTAAAGCCAGGATGTACAGCAGCCTGTGCTGCAGAGCATTCAAGCATTCCCATGGAATATGACATTGTGGATCCCGTGAGCCAAAAAAGCAAGGAAGAAAAGGCAAGGAAAGGAAAAAAAACTAACAATGAGATGGTGAGTTAGGAAGATAATTGAAGGAGAAACACAATTACAAGAAGCAAGAAATACAGCATGAAGGCAAGAACTCAAGGAAGGGGGTGTGTGAGAAGAAGGGATGAAAGTCAACGAGTGGACTGGTTTCCATTATATTAATTTCCTCCATAATTACCATTGCCACTTAGACTTTTATCAGGACAAGGCCTGCCAGGGAAACGCCGCAGCACAGTACTCTCTGTTCATGCCAAAGTGGCAAAACCTTTATGTCACATATCTGGAAAGATACTGTGTCCTTCTCTATCAGAATCCTCCACTGGGACACCAAAGTCCTGGTGCCTGCTCGCTGTCCTGTCAGCCAGCTCCGAGTGAATCTAAGTGATGGCTCCTGGTGTACACTGGACAAAGACATTTTGTAATGTCCCACTCTGTGGCTGCTTCTTGGTGCTGTCAGCTGGCACAGTGGTGTAACCTTCTACTTCCCTCTGAATTTTGACAAAAACCAAGGGGTGCAGCTTGACACAGAGAGTGATGTCAGGGAGCCAGGAGAGTCACAGCACAAGGGCGAGGAAGCCATAGACAGCACAGCGCTGACCATCAGACGAGTCTGCCTGATCCAGTTCACAATGTCAGCACAGCTGACTGAGCAGGGGGAGATTTTGATTTTCTGCACTCACTTTGGAGTAACCTGGTGCTGAAAGAAAAGCAGTTTCCCAACAGATGGCCTCAAGGTCGGGCTTTAGCCATGACACAATCCCCAAACCGCTGTAGCCCGGGCAGGGAGGGCAAGAGAGGGAGACCTGCAAAGGGTTAAAGCTCCAGCTAAACAAAAGTCAGCCACCGTGTAATTAAAACTCTACCTTTGTTGTATTGTCAAGAGTTAGCCTGTGACATAGGAAATATTTAAAGGAGCAGGCTGTTCGGCTAATTTGTGTGTGAGTGAACTGCTTAGACAGTCCCATCCTAAATTAACTGTAAGACCACCCACCGAGCTCGCCTCATAAAGGGCCACGATTGCTCAGCTTCCTTCTGTATAACCGTTCAATAATTACTAGATAAATGCATAACTAAAACCTCTATTACACTAATAATTTGTACCGAGATGGATGTGAGGGACACCATGCTGGGTTAATTTGTCATCCCTGCAGCAAACTTCTAAAGAGGGCTCTTTCGCAGAGGAGTTGTGTTAATATGTTGCTCCAGTGAGGACATGTTAGAGCAACAAGATGACTTGGTCGCTTAATCTCCTAAAGAGGCAAAATGCCTGCAGGGGAAGTGCCAGAAAGAAGAAAGGGGGGTGATTAACACAGTGGACCCAGATTTAAACTCATCCTGACTTAAGGAGCTGATCTAACTGAGCAAAAGAATGAAAGAAAAAAAAAAAAAAAAAAAAAAAGAGGGAGTGTTAAAAATACTAATGGGATTTCATGCATCCCTAAAAAAATAATATAAAAATAAAGTGCTGCAGGA